AAAAAAAAAAAAAAAAAAAAAAAAAAAAAAATATATATATATAACCAGAATACCAGTATCATAGCTTTAAAAACTGACAATAAACATCACCAAATAGTTAGTTCCAGTATCTGATTGTCTCATTTAAAAATTGAGGGATTATTAGCTGGGGGACTATAGGCGCACGCCACTGTGCCTTGCTACTTTTCTTTGTTGCATTGGAGTCTCACTCTGTCACTCAGGGTGGAATGCAGTGGCACACTGCTCATGGACACTGCAACCTCGACCTGCTGGGCTCAGGCGATCCTTCCACTTCAGCTTTCCAAGAAGCTGGAACTATAGGCATACATCACTGTGCCTGGCTAATTTTTTGATTTATTGTAGAGGCGAGGTCTCGCCAACTTGCACGAGCTGGTCTCCAGTCCGTGGGCTCAGCCTTCAGGAGTGCTGGGATTACAGGCTTGAGCCACCGTGTCCAGCCTGGCTAATTTTTTAATTTTTTTTTATTTTTGTAGAGATCGGGTCTCACTATGTTGCTCAGGCTAGTCTCAAACTCCTGGGCTCAAGTAATTCTCCGGCCTTCCAAAGTGCTAGAAGTATGAACATGAGCTATTGCCCCTAGCCTAAAAACTGTTTATAATACAGTTATTGAGTCTAGTCCATATCAGCTCCCTACATTGTAATTGACTGATAAATGTCATGAGCCTTTTTCTGTCTCCCCTTCTGTCCCTTTTTCCTTGCACTCTGTGTGTAGGAGAACCAGTTGTTTGTCCTGGAGGGTGTCTCCCAGTCTGCATTTTGCTGAGTAGTTCCACATGATGTCCTTTACTGTATTCCCTTATTTTTCCTATCTTTCTGGTAAATTAATAGTTCAGGGTCTATGTTGTTATTTTGTTTGTTTTCCTGTTCTGTTGTGTTAGAGCCTTTTGCTGCTGGAGTAGGCACATCTGGAGGTCTGGTCATCTCTCTTTGTGATATTAGCAGCTGTTGATAACTGCCTAGCCCCACTGCTTTATTAAGGTTGTATGAAGTTTTTTGTTTGTTTGTTTTGAGTCAGTCGCACTCTGTCACCCAGGCTGGAGTGCAGTGGCACAGCCACCACAACCTCGACGTGCTGGGCTCAGGTGATCCTTCCACCTCAGCCTTTTAGGTAACTGGGACTACGGTGTATGCCACCATGCTTGGCTAATTTTTTTATTTATTTTGTAGAGACAAGGTCTCGCAAGTTGCCCAAGTTGGTCTCAAAGCCCTGGGCTCAGGCAATCCCTCTTGACTCAATCTCCCAAAGTGTTGGATTACTGGCTTGAGCCACCATGCTTGGCAGGTTGTATGCCTTTTAAGGTGCCCAAAAATTATAGTTAGCCATGGAATTATAAATGAAAACAATGACACTTTGACCAACACAGACAATAACCAGTTTTAGAAAATGAAAATGTATTATTTTCAGTACATTTACCTTGTAGATAAAGCTTGATGAAGAAAGCTTCAATGCAGTAGTTTTTACTACAAGGAATTGGATAAATTGAGAAATCCTGGTTTTAAGCATTGATGTAATTAATAATGACACATTATTCCTTAGTTGACATTGGTAGTTTTTAAGTGTGACCTAGCTATATTTTAAACCTCTATGTTGGCTGAATGCTGACATTCTGTCAGTCTCAGGCGGCTGTATGGAGATGCTAAGATTGCTGGTGATCGACAGGTTGTAAAAGGGGCCTCCCACTTCCCTAGGCAGCAGAGCTTTTACCACTTTCCCGAGGACCCTGACGTGGAGGGCTGTTGGGGCTACCTGCTGAGGACGACCCAGTGCTCTGTGGCTTCCACCACCACAGCTGGCCCACGTGGGTGCCACTACCACCCTTTCTGCCTCAGCTCCTGCCCTCAGCCATGTGGGCTTCAGCCTCCTCCATGGGAGGTGCTGCCAGCGATCCTGTGCCCTGACTCCAGGCAGAAGTGCACATCCCATGGCCCACTGTTTGCCCAACGCCCATCACACACAGACATCTCCACTGCCTTGGTCCCCTATGTCTATCTCACAAGCTAGAAGGCTTTCAGTCTTTCATCTTAGCAGCCTTAGGTTTTTGGTTTCAGCTGGGTACAGTGGTTCACGCCTACAATCCCAGCACTTAGGAGGCCAAGGTAAGAGTACTGTCTGAGCCCAGGAGTTTGAGACCAGTCTACACAACAGGGTGAGACCTCATCTCTATAATTAATCAGGAAATTAGCCAGGCCTGGTGGTGCATACCTGTAGTCCTAGCTATTTGGAAGACTGAGGCAGAAGGATCTCCTGAGCCCAGCAGATTGAGCCTGTGGTAGCAGTTAGCATGCAGACTCTGACTCAAAAATAATAAGAATAATTTTGTTTCATATAATAACATTTAAAAGCCTCAAACGTGTGATGAAAATACCATTCTTGTGTGAATTCTTGTGATTTCAGTTGTCATTGATTCTCCATGTGTTAGAATAATGAATTAGCACTTAATGGTAAACTATAAAAAGGCACATTTAGCACTTCAAACAGGTATGGAGTTGATGCTAAAGTGAGGCCATATTTATAACTCATGGCAGCTAATATTCCGGTGGTAGCAAACTACTGGGGCCAACCAGACTTCTTTTGTAAACACAATCAAGTGGAAAGTGAAGGTGTGTCATGTGGGAGATTTTTGTGAATGAGATGAGACTGTCCTGTTTGCATTCTCCACCTAGCATTCACTGGCCAGCTTACTGTGGTCCAGAGCCTGTGCTGGGCCCTTGGGACATGGGTAGGAGGAAGATCAATCCAGGAGTGGAGTCCAGTGAAAGACATATGGGACTGCAAAACACAGTGTTCATGG